GTATTCATGTTCTAGTGAGACGTTCATAATTAATAAAAAATGCCGCAAATGGAGAAAGCTGTTTTGAAACGTGCTCAATAAAACAAACTAATTATCTTAAGGAGAGTTTGCTCAAAGGCTTTATTATTTCCTGCGCTATATTTGTTCCAAATTATTTTCATGTTACATGACGTGGCTTGATTTCTAATCGGGAAAGCGGCACGCGAAATTAACTGCGTGAGTCAGTGAATAAGAGCGTTATTTTCCGGTTTGTATCAGTAAAGACGTATACTCAGATTTGAGTCTTATCTCAGACCTTAAGTAGTAAGGATATAAAATGCTAAAGAAAAAACATTTTTCGACGTTTTGTGAAGATATGTTAACGGATTTAAATTTTTATCTGAAACCTCTTGTCTATGAAACAACATATATGACAAATAAACCTTATTTCGCTATGAATGTTTTTTCATGGAATGTCGATGGATTTGATGTCCGGAAGAATAGCACTGAAAAGATGTGTGATCTATTAGTGATCATAACAAATGAGTTGCAACAAAAAAACAGCTGAAGCCGAACAATGAAACGAAAGGTCATGTCTTCAAAGGAACACGTCCGTGAACTTAGGTGCAAAAGGTCAAAAAAGGGCAGAGGCACGAATTTGATAAATTTGACAAACAACTTGTAAATCGGTGTTTTTCAAAGGACTCTTGTGTTTGTATTTGATATTGCAACTCTATCGAAGGAACGGATAGACGTTTATTCAAAGCTTCTTCTGTTGATTTGAATTTTTCAAGTTTCAGTGGAATTTCGAAATCGTATAGCTTACTTAATCTGTGGTTACAATTTGTGCATCTGAACTTGGTGGGCAATAACGACGGTAAAACTCAGAAAAAAATCATATTTTCTGTCAACCGTACCTGTGAGAAACAATTGCTCCTTGGGTGCAGCCTTCTCGATGCGTTTGACCTTATGTTCAATAAAGATATGTTATATGCGATTCCCCGAGCTTATTGCTGTTACTCACGTCACTCTCACCAAAGTGATTTTGTTGATAATTTGTTTTTGTTGTCGCTGTTTTCAAACAGGATAAAAACAACTGCTAGTTTGCTATTTATCTTTCTAACTGATGTCTTTCTGTGCGCTTGATATCGAGCGGCCGGAATAAGCCAAGTATATATGTTTGTGTCAAATTAATGGTTTTTTATCATCTCTTGATAAGTAATTCTACTTCATGCAGCCGGAGCCTAAAAATACACATCCCGATATGAATGATTGATTAATTAGCAATTCTAATGTAAATACGTGCGCTGGAGAGAAACAAAGTAGAATCTAGTCGTCTGACTTTTACCCCGCAGTTTCTTCCTGTATTCGATAGCACCTGATATCTAAAGACCTCTGTCGTTTTGACTATACATAACTTTTTACCGGATTTCCAGACTGGAGCTGAAAAACGAGAAGAAAAAAGAAAAGAAACAAATTAACGAGAAGCAGGTGTAAACGATGATGACAATCTCTCCGGTGAGAATCTCATTAACCTTTCGTATTGTTGCAGTTGACATGTTTTTAACTGACAAAGAAAGGGAACCCCTGTAGTTTTGTTGCTCGGGGTATTTTGACGTCTCGGTGAAATGAAAATAATGGTGGATTTATTCTTGTCCACACAGGCAGCTTGACGTGTAGAGTTTATTTTGTTCGGTTTTAGTAATTGACTGACCAGGAGCTAACGACCCACAGAACGGAGAGCAGAGGGCTTGTCCTCCGGGGGGTATCCCTAGTAAAAATGGGTGGGGGTGCGCGGCTTGCTTCCCAAAACCCTTACCCTACTTAAAACCAAAATCTGTGATTATCCCTACGCTGACCTGACCAAAAATTCGATACCCTATTTAAGACTTGACCCTTAACTCAATACCCTGTTTTAGAAATTCTGTATAATTAGTTCCCTTTAGGCTAGTTCAGACCGATGTTCAGAGGCAATGTTTATTTGCTTTTAGTAGATTCAGGATATGACGTCGTGATGAAAAAGTAGCTCCTTCTAACAAACATACCCAATTCAAGAATAGAATGCAAAAACCATACCCTATTTGAGTCCAAACTGGCCAAAATCGATACCTTTTTTCTGACCAAAACAGCTAAAAAACCATACCCTTTGGGACC